AAAAAGATATGACATCATGTATAAATACGTTCAATCTTCGTGTCCAGATCTTTATACTCGCTTCTCTTATATCTACAGTAAAAGTATACAGAATACGCGTCGACCTTGTTATCAGTAGCAGTCTCCTTTCGAACGATACACTTTGGCTTTTTGTAGACGATTACTTTACGATTGTGCATTTCGTATTCGGTCGTTGAGTGTAATACATCGAGTTCTAATAATAATTCTAATTGCGATTACTTTATCTGTGAGTAATACTATAATTCAAATTTCACTGACAGCTTATTATACTCCTATCATAATAATAAATCTGTTGCCGTATGTGCGAAAAAATAATGAACACGTTTTTTTAACTACTTGCCGTTTCCGTGTTTCTCAAGTTTTCCACATTGATTCGAATTATACGTTTTACTATTCAATCAAGGAAAGGAAAGCGGGACGATAGTAAGGAAAGTGCATTACACGAAAAAAAGGAAAGAACATTCGCGTTAGCAACTTTCAATCAATCCACCTTTCCCATTTACAACTTGTTCGTGTATATTGCAGTGGACTATAGAATACCAACAATTGACGCCTTCGTGCACCGTATTTCTTGAAACAACAGGTGATCAGTGCATAAAGACGATTTCTCTTACATCTTTGTATTTATTTTTCGGTCGATATCATAAAGATAAGAGATAAAACAGCGAAAGTAGTCGAGAATTTTTGTATTGCAAAATTTACATTTATAGATTTTATAAATTTCTTAAGAAATGAGGATCGCCGTGATTGGTGCCGGAGCCGCTGGTCTAGCTGCTCTAAAACATTGTTCTTCCGGTGCACATGACATTCAAGTAGTATGTTACGAAAAAACGGATAAAATAGGTGGTACGTGGGTATATAGGAAAGAAATTGGTTTAGACCGATACGGTCTACCGATACATACTAGTATGTACGAAAATTTAAGGCAAGTCAACTGGAGAGAGAATAAATAAAATGCATCATACCTACGTACGCACAATTTGATTTATATTTGATTATTTGTATAAAACAGGACAAATCTTCCGAAAGAAGTGATGGGATACCCTGATTATCCTGTTCCGGAAAATCCAGAGAGCTATTTGACGCGCACGCAAATGCTCGAGTTTTTAAATTCGTATTGCGATCATTACAATCTTCGTCAATATATTCGGGTACTGCATAATTCTTAAGGATAAATTGAATTATTTATTATTGAACAACATAATTTTTGAACATGCACTTTATAGTTCCTGCATAATGTTGAATTAGTGGAACCGTCGTCGACAGGGGACCGGAAGTGGACCGTCAAGGTGAAAGACCTAGAAAAGAATGTTGCCTTGACTGAATCATTTGATGCGATTATGGTATGTAATGGTCATTACTTCGAGCCTAGTATGCCAAATGTGAAAGGTCATACGAGTTTCCAAGGGCTGCAGTTGCACAGTCACGACTACAGAGTACCGGATATATTTACTGACAAAAGTGTAGTAGTTATCGGCGCTGGGCCTTCCGGTATGTCACGTGTTATTCGTCATCGCCTCTCTCTCTATTTCATTTTATTTGTTTATAATGTATGTTAAATATTTTTTTTTTAATAAACAGGAATGGATTTGGCTTTGGACATATCGAGAAAAGCAAAGCGTGTATTTTTAAGTCATCACTTGACGGACCCCATTGGCACCGTATTTCCGGAAAATGTAATACAGGTGATTAGTCAAAGACAAATAAAAACTGGATATGGAGAGAGAAAAATTTCGCAATTTGTTAAAAATGTCACTTGTTAATTCATTAGAAACCAGATGTTAAAGAACTGACCGAACATAACGTTCTCTTTGCGGATGGCACTAATGAACCTATAGATGCGGTTTTTTATTGCACAGGTAATTTTTATCCGCAATGTACCGTAATATACGTTTATTAATTATTTTTCTCTGTAACCTAAGGGTATAAATATAGCTTCCCCTTTTTGAGCGAAAAATGCGGAGTGCGGGTAGATTCCAATATGGTAACACCATTATGGAAGCATCTAATATCGATTGAAAATCCCTCTCTCGCCTTGGTCGGTCTTCCCTTTTATGTCTGCGCTTTCAGCATGTTCGATCTGCAGGTCTGACACGAATAATAACATTGTTATGAAACTTTTTTTTAATCACATGAACTATTTTAGTATAAATTATTATTTATCGATTTAGGTGCGGTTCGTCCTACAATACTGGTTTGGTAAGAGAGATTTCCCTTCGAAAGAAGATATGCTAAGAGAGGAGACGGAAGAATTGAAGAAACGCGAAAAAGAGGGTTTACGTAAAAAGCATTTTCATCTCATGGGATATAAACAGCACATTTATTACGATGATCTTGCGAACACTGCAGGAATTACACCGCTACCACCGGTTCTTTCGAAACTGCACGACGAGAGCAGTATGCGCTTTCTGGATGATCTGGTTCACTATCGAGAAAGGAGATATAGAATCATCGACGACTATAATTTCATTCAACTTTGAAACCGTGTATTGTCCTTATAATATAAAATAATGAACACTGACTGACTGGTCGATTGGCTTTATACAATTAATATAAATAACACGGTGTGCTTTATTTTTTAATTCCAACACTAACAGTGAACAAATTGTATAATAAACATAATAGTAAATTGAAAAAAACTTTGTACTGAGATCAATCGTTTGCATATACATACACTAATTTCCTATGAAAGTCCTATGTAAATATATTTTATACTTAAACATCGCGCTGTGGTGTGTTATTTGATCGAACCGAAAGGGGGCATCTGATATATGTGATGTGAACATGTGTGGTTAAATGCCTTGCGATAGTTTGCGATGCCTTACGTTTGCCGACTTGTGGACTTGCGGTTGCGTGCGTGCGGTGCGGCAGAGTGCAGGGCGCAGTGTACAGTGTTGTGTGTTGTGTGTGATGTAGTTGTCTGACGGGCGCGAGTACGTTTCATTCTATTATCATTCCGAAATGATAAGCGTTTCTGCGGTCCCGAAGTGATTCAGTGTCGAAATATTTCAGCCTGTTTTCTTACGGCTAACTCACGATGGTTGAATCAATCGGGAAGCGTATCGAGGAAAGTCAACGTAAGTATGTGGATTCTCGCGGTTAAAAGTCGTCTATGGAACATACATACGTATGTAGATTTTTCTATCTCATTCGCTATCATTACTATCCTCCTTATCGTTAACAAGTTTCGTCCAGTTCCGAAACCGAACGTGCCTGTTCGTACATAAGAAACGGCGGTGATGAAGGATTAAAAAAAACAACGGAGACCATCGTCTGATCTTTCATCTCCGCAAATAGGTTTATTTATGTCGAGAACAGACGACGTTACTTTTCTAGATAGAAAGTTGCATTCAATGATGCGCGATATGTGGGCTACGCGTAAGCTCTCTCGGGTGAATGCATCGTAAGAATGTATTTACGTTCGCCGTGTGTCGTGTTCCCTTTCCTGCTTTATGTAATTTTACTACGGACACCTGTCCGTCAGGATCTCGAGTATCGGAAGTACGGCAAACAGTTTCCGAAACCGAGCTACACGTTACTGTCAACGGTCTCATTTTACTTTATCTGTCAGATGTTCGGTATAACAAAAAATAAAAAACCTTTTACAGTTGTCGGGGACTGTCCATTTGATCCAACACTAACAGTGAACAAATTGTATAATAAACATAATAGTAAATTGAAAAAAACTTTGTACTGAGATCAATCGTTTGCATATACATACACTAATTTCCTATGAAAGTCCTATGTAAATATATTTTATACTTAAACATCGCGCTGTGGTGTGTTATTTGATCGAACCGAAAGGGGGCATCTGATATATGTGATGTGAACATGTGTGGTTAAATGCCTTGCGATAGTTTGCGATGCCTTACGTTTGCCGACTTGTGGACTTGCGGTTGCGTGCGTGCGGTGCGGCAGAGTGCAGGGCGCAGTGTACAGTGTTGTGTGTTGTGTGTGATGTAGTTGTCTGACGGGCGCGAGTACGTTTCATTCTATTATCATTCCGAAATGATAAGCGTTTCTGCGGTCCCGAAGTGATTCAGTGTCGAAATATTTCAGCCTGTTTTCTTACGGCTAACTCACGATGGTTGAATCAATCGGGAAGCGTATCGAGGAAAGTCAACGTAAGTATGTGGATTCTCGCGGTTAAAAGTCGTCTATGGAACATACATACGTATGTAGATTTTTCTATCTCATTCGCTATCATTACTATCCTCCTTATCGTTAACAAGTTTCGTCCAGTTCCGAAACCGAACGTGCCTGTTCGTACATAAGAAACGGCGGTGATGAAGGATTAAAAAAAACAACGGAGACCATCGTCTGATCTTTCATCTCCGCAAATAGGTTTATTTATGTCGAGAACAGACGACGTTACTTTTCTAGATAGAAAGTTGCATTCAATGATGCGCGATATGTGGGCTACGCGTAAGCTCTCTCGGGTGAATGCATCGTAAGAATGTATTTACGTTCGCCGTGTGTCGTGTTCCCTTTCCTGCTTTATGTAATTTTACTACGGACACCTGTCCGTCAGGATCTCGAGTATCGGAAGTACGGCAAACAGTTTCCGAAACCGAGCTACACGTTACTGTCAACGGTCTCATTTTACTTTATCTGTCAGATGTTCGGTATAACAAAAAATAAAAAACCTTTTACAGTTGTCGGGGACTGTCCATTTGGATAACGCGATTATAGTAGCTCGCACGAGTCGCACGTAACCATCTAATCCGAGTTATGGAACATAGCGTGACGTGTGTCACAATTCGTCAAATATAATCAGCAATTCTTATACGATATGTTATTACAGATAATATTTCATATTTCACATGTCCCACAAATAGTTGTTGCACATGCGTGCATTTGTTTCACAGTTTATTAGAGTATATATTTATTGTTAATCGCCATATACGGAATGTTATGCAAAATCAATTGAATGTTTAAATAAAGTTTGATATGTGTCTGACTTAATTTTTTATTAATAGGGTATTAAGGTGGTGCTAGAGGAATTGTAAAATGGCTACAAAAACAGAAGATACATCCATTGATAATACCAATGATGGTATAAAAATTATTACTCTTTGTTATACTTCATCTTATCGACGTATACTGTAATAATTTATATAAATGTAGGAGAAAGCATGGATAAAGAAGTTTTAGCAATTAGTGGAAAGGATGAAACTGGTCATCGCGTACCACCTACATATTTATACAATTCAGGTTCTGAACAAAATACAGGAATCAATCAAGATCAAAGTAACAGGAATCGTACTCAAGCTTCAGAAGATCAGTTGGGACCTTTACCATCAAATTGGGAGAAGGCTTATACAGAGACTGGAGAAGTTTATTTTATAGAGTACATATTTGTATTATTAATAAATATATTATTACGAAGTCATTATAGGAAAATAATCTATTAATATATGTATAATTATATAATTAATGCATAAATATTTATTGATGATTATTTCAGTCACAATACAGGCACTTCTCATTGGTTAGATCCACGTTTATCTAAGTTCCAAAAAAGATCTCTTGAAGAATGTCTGGATGACGAATTACCTTATGGTTGGGAGAAAATAGACGATACCCTTTATGGTACATATTTTATTGATCATGTGAATCGTAGAACTCAATATGAAAATCCAGTGTTGCAAGCTAAACGAGCTCAGCAAAGTTTAGGAGAAAGAAAGAGCCCTAATTTCACCAGAAACCCTGATAAATTAAAAGGGCATAGGATAAGAACTACTTTAATAAAGAGCTCACGAGGATTGGGATTTACTATTGTTGGCGGAGATGATTCTGTAGAAGAATTTCTGCAAATCAAAAGTGTGGTTCCAAATGGACCAGCATGGTTGGATGGAAAATTGCAAACTGGTAATGTACACTTATAAAACTTGTTTCTACAAGATGATCTATCTTCACATTTGAAAATTTGATTGTAGGAGATGTCTTGGTATATGTGAATGACACATGTGTCTTAGGTTTTACACATAATGAAATGGTAAATGTTTTCAAATCAATCGGCAGTGGAGAAACTGTGACATTGGAAGTGTGTCGCGGTTATCCTTTACCATTTGACCCGAATGATCCAAACACAGAAGTTGTTACTACTATTGCAGTCAATGCACCAGGTGATGATCATATTAGATAGTAAGATTTTTGTAATAGAACAGTTAGGTCTAATTTCTTCAGATATTTCAACAGAAGATCCCAGAATGTACATGGATATGGACCCGACTTTGCAAAACAATGAACGCTTCAACTTTTTGGATTCTACATTTTTACCAGTACACAACCTCCAAAATGGTGAAAATCTTGCCACGACATCGGTTAATTCAATGCCAGATCTATGCATTTCGGATAAGATTAATACGATCAAAAGACCTAGTAGTACAGATATTTTGTTATCCGAGAGCAGTGATTTAAATGACTGCAAAGACTCTTCAATGTCTTCCAAACCGGAATTTCTTAGCATCGCGATTGTAAAGGGTACTATGGGATTTGGATTTACTATAGCTGATTCTGCTCATGGTCAAAAAGTGAAAAAGATCTTAGATCGGCTACGTTGCAAGAATTTAATGGAGGGTGATATTTTGGTCAATATAAATGATATCAATGTGAGGAACATGTGTCATTCCGAAGTAGTACAAGTTTTAAAAGATTGCCCTCGTAATGAAGAAGCACTGATACACGTGCAAAGAGCAGTGCCCAAACCAAATGAAAAGAAGGAGAAAAATTCTCAGGACTTTTTTAGAAGTAAAACGCCGACGGCTGATATTTATAGCACTCAAACAAAGACTGTTGTGCCGAGTCGACCGAAAACTCCGCTTATCGATACTAGGAATCGGCCAAAGTCCCCTCCCGGTGCGATTAGATCAAATTGGAACGAACAAAGTGAGACCGAATTAAATCCACTCGATAATCGATACAAATATTCAGAATACCCACATGGTATGTATTACAACGATCCGTATAAGGCGAACATTGCAAACTTGTCTGAGAACTTTATGACGATGACAAATTTAGACGACGATCCTATAAGGAGTAGTGCAAAAAGAGATTGGGTTACAAATGATAAATTAAATATAAATAACGATACGTACTCTATCGATATACCTCACCATGACAACATGTTAAAGCAAAATGGATGTTTACATTCAGATTACTATAAAGATTTATATGCATCTCAATCTCATTCTCAATACAGTGAACAAGATTATAATGTGTATTCTATTGGTCAAGAACAAAATGTTGATACTGGTGAAATATGGGATAAACGAAAAGAAACCACTAGTTTCGAACATGAGCAACCACATTCCAGTTCGATAACGAGGTAAATATTTCGAATGAGATCTATGCTTCAATGTATTCTAGGATACAGATACCATTGTTCATATTTCAGGTATCCGCAATACAGCAACGAGTTAATATGCCCAATAGTGCCTGATATAGAATGGATAGAAACGTTGGTAACTTTAGTAAGACAAGACACAGGATTTGGATTTAGAATAGTTGGTGGTACCGAAGAAGGATCTCAAGTGAGTTGGAAAGTTGATCATATTTTTGATTAAGGAAAATAAAAAATATTGATGATATCATTGTCAGCAGGTTTCTGTTGGACATATAGTACCTGGTGGTGCCGCAGACTTGGACAATAGATTAAATACAGGTGATCTAATTATGTCCGTCGATGGTGAAAGTGTGATGAATTCGTCACACCATCACGTTGTCCAATTGATGATAGCTGCTGCCCAAAATGGTAGAGTCACTCTAGGAATTCGTCGTCGTATTAACGTTCAAGAACATCTTCCAGAAAATCTTCACACACCATATACTAGACAAATGAATCTCCAGTATCCTTACGATGTGACAGTCACTAGGATGGAAAATGAAGGTTTTGGTTTCGTTATCATTTCATCAGTTAATAAAGCTGGTTCCACGATAGGTAGAATAATCGAAGGATCGCCGGCGGAAAGATGCGGCCGACTGAATGTTGGGGATCATATCCTTGCCGTTAATCATGTAGATATTACAAACGTTTGTCACAAAGATATTGTGAATTTAATTAAGGATTCTGGTTATTCCGTTACTTTGACTATTGGTTATCCGCTCGATGATTGCTGTAGCAATACATCTCTATCTCAAAAGGTACATGCATTGTGATTTTTATATGATCTGCGCTTTGGACATGATAAATGTTATTTGACGTGACTACAAATATTGATAAATTACTTTAGGATGAACCAGCATGTGATGGAGATGGAGGACAATATCATGCTGTTGAATTAACTCGTGGAACTAGAGGATTTGGATTCAGTATTCGTGGTGGACGTGAGTTTCAAAATATGCCATTATTTGTATTGCAAATTGCTGAAAATGGACCAGCATCTATTGATAATCGATTAAGGGTATGTATAATTACGACTATGGGGGATTGACAATTCATTACGTAATTAACGCTCCTTAAAATAACTTTTAGGTTGGCGACCAAATAATTGAAATAAACGGAATTAATACTAAAAATATGACTCATACAGAAGCTATTGAAATCATACGAAACGGTGGACCATCTGTTCGACTTTTAGTCCGACGCGGTTGTCAAATGCCTTCAGTGGTAGGTGCTCCTCCACAACTTTACGATATGAATATATGAAATTAACCATCCTAAATAACAAAATATTAATACTGAAAGCATTAACAGTATTTAATTTTGCAAGCGATGATACTAATGCTAACGTCATCCCTGTATAACTTCTTTTGATATGTAATTTTATACGAAGCTTCAGAGTTAAAAATTAAGTATCATAATATGAAAAAAAACACTTAAAGACAATACGAAAAAGAAAAGAATGATTGCAGGAAGTTGTTTTATTGCAGTGAGAGTTAGATTATACTGTATTACAGTACTATTATATGACATTTGGTACAGCGATATCTGGTGCAAGCAGAAAACAGTGTGTTATATTGTATATTTTATGGAGTTGGTTATACATATATGTAGGTATGTAATAACAGATATATACTTTTTATAGCTACATATATATATGTCAAAATCAATTTCTACGACATCCGTACATCGTGCCGCTTTAATAATCGATAATATTATTTACGTGAATTGCTTAAATTACTATACCTATTGCAGTTCATTAATATAAATACGAATATTGAGGACATGGTTGTTGACTCATACGTAAATGATATATATTAATATTAATATTAACTACATATTAATTGTAACGTTTTGATAATTAATGTAGAGAAGATTTTATATAGCTTTAAGTTAAAGGGAGGAACGCCTGAATGATCTTTTTTTGCAGCTACGAATTTAATTTGTGGAAAAGTCCGATTTATAGGGATGATATTTGCTCATTCTAACAAAATTGGACTGGTGCTAACTCCGGTTTTCAAATGTAACTGGTATTTAAATTATCTAATTTCTGAAAAAGAAAATTAATTCATCCTAACACGTGTGATAGTTTGAGAGTATTGTGCCTTGCGTGTGTTCCATACTTAATAACGAAAAATTACTAAAGAGAAGCTTAAGCTTCTGAATCAATTATAAATTTTATATTCAACTTCGTTGTAGAGTAATCTCACAATCGACCAAATAGATATTCAACCGATTGTTGAGGGCACACCACGCAGGCATTTATTGAAATTACACGAGTTGGGTGTGCACCCTAAAAGACGTCGGAAAATACGATTTTTCATTTTACTCAACTGCTGTTCATCAAAAAACAGATACTTATAAGTAAACTGTAGATTTTATGCATTTAAAGAAAAAATTGAATATATAGAAAATAAAAGAATGCATATAATGTGTAAAAATTTGTAGAACATCAAAAGACCAATACTACACATAATTGTTTCGCGATCTGAATCAAGATTTAATTTCTTAACATTGACACTACGTAAATTTTATTACACAAAAATCCGCAGTCTACTTATAGCTAATAAGCATTTAATATAAAATGCAATGACTACTTTAGTCGCAATAAGCAAGTTCTTTACAAAATCAAGTGCAAACCATCACGGAAGAGAATCTCCAACTTTTTTGTATCGCTTAATGATTTTATATTTTTCATAAAATTGAAGTGTACTTTTGTACTAAAACTTGTTGTATAAGCGTAAATTAACGTAAATTAATGGAGTGCAATCTATTTGCGGTAGCAAATAGTATTTGATACCCGTAACATCTATTTTAATATTAACATAGGAACAGGATTTTACATACGATCAATTCTCGATTGAAAAACAGACTGCAGACTGAGCAATTTACATAAATATTTGCATATTCCCTCTGAAATAAATATACGTTATTTTAGAGAAAATACTACATACATACCCACGTATGTGTATGTATGTATTGCAGCTTTGGTCAAAATTATATACATTTAGTATAATGTACATACATACGCATATACAAAAATCTGAAGAATTTGACTGAATTTATTAATCGATGCTTTATCGTCGTACTTCTTGAGCAGCATTTGAAAAGAATCTTTTTACATATTTATTGTAACTATGTATATCAAATATGTGCGTATAGCAATAATTAAATTAAGTACTTATACAACCAAAGAAGCAAATGCATTATCGACGATTCTGGTACGCACTGCAAAAATTCAACATATTGAGAAAACATGTTACTGCGTTAATCATTATTTAAAGGATTTATTCAGAATGTAATCTTTCTTCATTGATTAATTAAACAATAACATGTACACACGTGCAGTAAACAAATGATAATGGAAAGCAAATCACAAATAAGATCTGATAAACTTTGTTTGGTGTATGAACCTTTTTCGGTTTTTCTACGATATTAAAATGCGTTGAATATTATAAGAAATTAATATATTTTTCTACAAGGCAGTTAGTATAATGTCTAGCTAAAAATGTAACGAATAAATTAAATAGGAAGGAATTACAGTATATTTTGTAATCCTTTCTAATATAAAAGTCAGTGCTTTATAAAAGCAAATATTCACGTAAATTTGACATTATTCGTATTTGTTTGCTTCAATAAGCGATTTAATGATATGGATAATGTCAATAAATAGCGATAACTGCATTTAAAAAATGATAAAATTTGATCTAGAGTAGTTTATTACGTTTATTTTTTATAATTAGAAATATACATATACAGTTTGTATATTATAATATAGGATATTATAAACAAGTATTTGTAAATATATACATATGCATACTATGTACCGGATGAAAGAAATCTTACGATACTGATACACCTGAGCTTCGTAAAGAGAGTAATACTTCTTTTCTATTAAACTGTATCTATCATTTTTGTAATAATCTGAATATTAAAAGAAACTCCATATCTTCTGTAGTTATTCTGTACTTACAATAGCTAGAAATATTTGATCATCTTCTTTGCACGATTGCCGTATCATATGTATCATTCCTTTGAAGCGTTTTATATTTATTATGGAATAATATTCGATGTTATACATGTTTGTTTTTGATAACAATAATCGTTGATTATAAGAGACAACTGAATTTTTTAAATTGATGTTATTAAAATTTTATTATGCGATTATTACATCGTTGTTGATACGTGTATCAATAATAAACACTTAAAGTTAAGAACGTTGAGTTTTCTCCTCAATTAAACATCTCTTAACCGTATAGAACTGTAGATAACTTTTTCTAATACATAATTATTATAGTTTGCGGTCTCGTGTAATGTAATATAAGGGAACAGTATTTCAAGAAAGTATTAAAATTAGTTTTGAAATCGGCGCCTATTAAAAGATATCGCAGCCACAATGAAACTTATTGTATTTATTGTGTACGTACATATATACATACATATACATACATATTCCCAAGTGTTTCCAAGAATGCCCTGCTTGACGTCTTGTGACGTCAGTCAATGTCGTCAAGTTCTAAGATTCAAAACATACATTTTTTTATGCTTCTCATCGTTACAATTCCTTCTAACCGGTCAACATTTAAAATCGTAACTGCGTCTGTTATTCTGTACTTTCCCAAATTACGTGAATGTGAGTTATAATTATTGTTGTGCTATTCATTTCACGCGAGATATCGGTGAAACGTTGGCAGCACTGTCGATTGATCGCACGTATTTTACTCAGAATGTGTATCATATATATTTATTCCTGGGTCCCTCTGGGCGAATGTAAACAGAATTTTTTCGCAAATATGAAGTGACACGGCCAATTTATGCGGCTACAGCTAGTGCGTGGAAGCTACGACCCGTGATATCGACCTCACTGCGTTTGGAGTTTACGAGACCCTAAGTATAATAGTCTTGAACGCGTTACGGTGACCAGAAGATATACCTAGCGGGTAAAACGGGTTTGCGTTCGACTGTCCGTAGTGTGTTAAGTTCAGTGAATTAGTGTATGAGACGTTTTAGAATATATGGAAGCGCAATGAGGAATCTGCGGAAATTTGTTGACTGCTTGCTGACGGTGAGTAAAACCATGGAGATAAATGGCACCCACGTATGATAGCTTTGGACTTTCCCAACTCTTACAAAATACGTCCTATTGGTCGATTTCTCTGTAAAATGAGTCCGTGGACATCGATCGCCTGATTTTCCTGATTGATCGAACACAAATTCTTTGCACACTAAAACCAGCTGAAATGCTTCATATATTCAATATATCGCATGTACTAGTCAGTTCTTTTTACATATGTACATACATTGCTGTGAGCTTGTATTTTCTATGTATGTGTTAGATCCAGCATTCGTGAGATCACACACAATCTTGCATGCACCTACATACATATATGCGCAGGACAAAATACGAGTTACAGGCATCTACATGGAACGCGGTACGCCGTGGGCACAGCGTATGCTCGTAAATAAACGACTGTATTGGTTTCAACGCGTTACTCGTTTCAAATATCAGTGAGAATGCTTTTTTCTTTCATATACAGTAGAAATAACTCTACCGCATTGCACTAAATAATTAGTATATGCTGTCTGTACTCCGTCTCCGTACGTACACACGAGCAAGTATATATGTATATATATAGATACACATATGTATACACTTGTGTTCTTTTTTTTTGTCTCCTCACACTACCACTGTACTGTGATAACTGATTACGTTTTCAGCTTATCAGTTTTCCTTTTACTTCGATAATTAGTTTCCTAGTAAATAATAACAATAATAACTCATGGTTGATGAAAGTTTTGTAAAAGTATATCCATAACAAACTGAATTACTGCGTATCACTAATTAACATCTTACTCCTTAGTGAAATTAGTTAAATATATATACAATCGTCTTGAATAACATATTTCTATTATATTTTTATTTGTGAGTCTTAACTTTAAATTATTATATAGTGTATAGTTTTATGTAAGTACTATTTCTTTGTAGAACTTTTTACAAGAACAATGTTCACATGAGAAATTCTAATAAGTTCAAAAACCTGCTAAGCTAATGTATCTTCATGGGAAATAACTGTTTATTCAGAGTTGGAATCACATGAACTCTCTCAAAATCCTGTGTAAGCTATATGTATATTGAACAATGGTATTCAATCTGCTGAATGAATAATTCATTCCACAATCTTTTATCTGAGCAAGTTATCTCCCTGATTTAAGTTTGTTCTCTTTCTCATTTCGTATGCGTCTATAGTATAAGATCATAGCATGTGAAAGTAGTATCATTCAAAGCATGTACATGTGCACATAAAATTTTAAGCGCATGTCCGTGACACTGTGTTATGTGTTTAGCGTCTTTTCCTATAATTATAAATTATAATACACATACACGTATCATTATATTTCCTTCCATCGTTTACATTGGTGTTTTTATTTTCCTACTTAAAATGAGCATGGAGTTTGTGCTGAAAGTAAGTTTCATAAAGATTCATTGGAAGACTAACATAAAAATGTGGAAGTGATATGTCATGACCTCGAATTTACCAATAAGTAGTATATTCATCTCAGTAATTACCGTCTTATCTCTAACTCCTAGAATATAAGGATTCAGTCAGAGCTTAGGTTTAGAGTCGTATTTACAGTTGCATGGTATGCATTGAAATGTACTTTTCATTTAATATTCTTGTAAGTGTTAGTATTTTATTGTATTTCATTTCATTTTATTTAATTACAATTCGATTGTTGATATTATCTGTAGTGATATGTAATATCTTCTTATTTTCTTTCAGTGATGGGAGCTCAAGATGCCTTCAATAAAAGCAGATTCCAAAATATCAAAACAAGAAATGTTTGAATTTTTAAAGTCAAGCTTTAAAAGTACATCGAAGCATGGTGGTGTTGATAGATGTTCAGATGTGCATAAAATGACCGAGACTCTGTACTGTAGCTCGGAAAAATGTGAAAACAATAGTACATGTGTAACAAATAATACTTGTCTCCCTGTAAAGGCGGGCATTATTAATAGGATAGGAGATGATCTATGTGACACAGCTGGATCTGCAGCAACTATTAAGTATTCATCTTGCATATGTTTAGTTACTCATTGTGTGTTAAGTGAAGATGTTAATTTTAATTGCAATTGTGATATAATGCACCATCAAAAACCTAAACAAATCTCACGAAGTTATTTGTGTTCTATACATAATTTATGGAGAATCAAATCAGATAAAAATCTATCGTTACCGATTACAAAAAAGATCGGCACTCAGTGGAGGAATTGTTTTTGGAGAACATTTCTGATACCTTTTATGGTTCTATTACTATGCATGCCAATAAGCAATGCAGATTCCAGTCAATGTGCTGTTGGTGTAAAAACACCTGGAAGTAAGTTATGAAAAAAATTTCCAATTTTTAATTGAAAGAAATGCACGTACATATTAATTCCAATAAGTAAATTTGATTTGTTTTGTGTTACCGTAATGGTTTTGCAACTGTCTACTACAGTTGCGTTTATAAATATCTGATATTTGCATCTCTTATTTCTCCTTTTGGAATTCTAGTTCTGGTGCTAAATGTACATATCTATATTTAATGCACTAGGTAGACTTAGAAACTTAGAAACTTGACTAAAACTTGGAGTAAAATCATTATGCATTTTATTGAATATCATATATAGAATATGAATTATATAATAACAATTTATTTTGTAATTAACTTATACATTTTTCTCTTGAAGGAACTTGGCCACAAGGTGATATTATTATTGAGCATGGTAACCCATTGAGAATATTTTGTATATTAAATCAATCAATTGTCGATAAGGAATTCCCTGGAAAAAATGCGTCTGATCTTGTGTTTTTTCGTAACAAAAAAGAAATGGAACCAGAATTTATCACAATAATTAATGAAACTACAATTGCATTGGATGTAGAAAAACCTCCGCCTGCAGAGGACATGTATTATTGTAGATTAAAGTTAAACAATGAACACTATGAGGAGTACGAAGCAGTTTGTTTAAATAAAGTTGTCGTTGGATGTAAGTATTCTTATTAAAAAACATAACATTAAGTAACAACTTATCTGTGATTTAACATTTCATATGAAATCGCATCATTCATGCGAGCTTATCAGAGATAGTTTAGAAGGGATTTCATGGAAACATAAGTGGATATTGAGTGGTTGCTTTCATTAGAGTAGGTCTCTATAGAAGTATTACCAAATGTGTTTCGTATCTTGGAATTCATATTTTACAATCATTTAAGATGAGATCATAAGGACAGAATACTTTTTATACAAAGACTTATTCATAAATCTCATTGATATAACATATTAGATTTAGGAAATGAAAAAAGTAATAATGTATTAATTAACTCAAATTAATTATCAACAGTTAAACCTCAAAAACCTCATAACTTCACTTGTATATCTCATAACTGGGAAAATATGACATGCTCATGGGAGCCCGTCCAAAATTACGTTACAACGAGATTTACGCTTGTGTTTAAACTGCCGGGAAAAGCAGGAGGTCGAAAATTGTATCCATGCCCGAAAGAAACTCAAACACACACTTCGTGTATGTGGGACACGTCTACGAATCCTATTTATCGACTACCATACGAATATTATACATTTATACTGAACGTTGAGAATGTATTAGGGAATATAAGTATTCAATACAAATTTCATCACTATGCTTATGGTACTTATTATTTAGTTAAATAAAGTTTAATTATATAGGAAAGAATAATACGATTCAGAATATTGCACAAACATTTTTAGTTGTACCAACAAAACCGGCGAATTTGACAGTCGTCAATAAAACGTCTGATAGTGCATTATTACACTGGAGTGTGCCTTTTCCAATGCAGAATTTTCCACCTGGATTACATCATAGAATCATGTATCAAAGCCAGTGGGATGATCCGGAAACTTGGCAGGTGTGTATCCAAATTTTGATGCGTATTTTCATAACATGTATTTTTCTAAAAGTATAATATATTACGAACTTATTGTAGACGATCAATATTACGAATGGTTTTCACACGCATAAAAGATATTGGAATCTTACTGGGTTGGAGTACGCCAACACTGTTTACGACGTACGAGTATGCCTAAAAAGTGCCGTCGCGGTTGGGGAAGACAAATGGAGCGACTATAGTGCTGTCGCTTTTAGAACACCACCAAGATGTGAGTTACAGTTCCTGTAATTTTAATCTCGCTATTTCACAAATTCCCCGTAATATATTTTTTATATTATGTATATGATATTTTAGTACCTGGCCGACCTCCAAGAACTGACATCGGAAGCTTTGAAATAGCGGAGAACAATAATAGCAGGGACGTATATTTGTACTGGCAAGCTATACCTCAGTATTTAGAAAATGGCGATGAGTTTAAGTACGTGGTGGAAAATGTAGAAGAAAACGGACGAAAGTTGTCGCTTGCTCCCAAGGAAATTACTAGAACGTATGCCAAATTCGATGGGATCAGTTTTAACAAATATAAATTTGAGATTGTTTCGGTAAACATTGTTGGAGCAAACAAAGAGCGTGCTAAAATTTTTGTACCCAGTAAAAACGAAAGTAAGACAAAAGGAATTACAAAAATTTGCTATGCATAAACGTATACAGTAATTAATATTGGTTTTATATTACAGTACCAAAGGAACCCATAGCGTTTACGAAAATTGCATTTGACGGAGGTTTATATGAACTGTCTTGGAAGCCACCGCATGATTACAAAAATACTCAACAAATTCGTGGGCGTGTGATTAACGAAATTACAAATTATACAATTTTTTGGTGTGACAACGAACGCGACCGTCCTTACGAGTGCAACGTATGTATTTATTATCTGTTAACATTTATAATATAAGATTTCGATGTGATCGTGATTATTTACAGGGTTATCTAGACTGGGTACAAGTACCGAAAAATACAACGATCTATAACATGACTGTACCAGATCCTCATAAAGTTTATCAGTTTGCTATTTCCGCGAATACGGAAAAAGGTAGCAGCGGCATGGTATGGGCATCGTGTACCGTAAAACATGACAAAGTCGTTGAAAAAATGAAGTTTGTGTGGATAAATCGAATTGGTTCCGATTTTATTGAAGTCGGTTGGAACCTGGGTTGTTCGGATCGTATCGGAATCGTTGAGGGATTTAATATTTACTATTGCCCTATTGTTTCACCGTATAGCCAGAATTGCAAAGGTCCAAAACTTTATACGACGATTAAAGCCGGTCCTCATACTATGAACGGTATCGTGAATAACTTGACACCATATACGACTTATATGTTAACCGTTGCTGTCTTAACGAAAAGCGGAGAGGGTTCGCAAAGCGATGCTTTGTACGACACAACGCTCGAGGCAGCCCCGACAACTCCACCGCAAGATGTTAGAATTTTTAACGTAACAAAGTCGACGATGAATGTCACATGGAAAGCACCGCAAGCAATGAACGGTGTATTGCGATATTACGAAGTTTACTACAACCAACTCACGCAAAAAGTTGAAGATTCAAGCCATGTTGTACTGACAAATTTGTTGCCGCATACGAATTATAGCATTAGCATAGCAGCGTGCACTGTCTCTTGCAGCGTGAAATCACCAACCGTTTACAGCATTACAAAAATCGGGACACCCGGAAAAATTTCCCCACCTAATGTACGTTTCATAAATTCTAGCCAGGTGGTCGTCAAATGGAGTACACCTACACAGCCCGCTGGACACCTAAACTATTATGAAATATTATCGAGTGATGGACAAATACAGAACAGTTCTACAACAGGTAAATATATTTCTTGCGAGGATAAATGTGTTATTATAATAGTAATATAAATACTTTGGAAAATGTTACAGAGGCTTTATTACCTATCCCTGATTGCAAAATGATAGGGCGGGACAGATTATATCAATTTCGTGTAAGAGCTGTTAATATCGGATCGAATAATGAGCATTTGCGTGGTCCTTGGTCTGGATTTGGTGAGGGAAACTGTTACAGTGGCGGTACGTCCACGTTTTTTATTTTTTTTTTCTTACTTTTCGAATTAGTGTAGTTATTATTTTTAAATTCTTCGTTTGAATGGTAGGTCCGACATTCAGTGTGTGGGTTTTAATATGGGTAATTGGAGGTTTTAGTCTTGTGGCAATTGTCGTTTGCGTGGCACATGTATCAAAGAGGTATAAAACATTGTTTCCTACGTCGACTAATCCATAATGTAAATGTAATCTGAGGTTTAAATGTACTCGTATTTGTTGTAGAATGTGGTTGAAGTGTAAAGCTATGCAAGATGTTGAAGTCAAATTACCACCCGGGCTTGCACCCAATATGGTACAGTCTTACACGAGAATATGTTCATATTGTATAGATAAAAAATGTTTTAATTTACGTTTTACTCATTTTTGTTATAGAAACTTCTTAGAAAAGTTGGCGACCAACACATCCGTCAGTCTTCTGCTGATTCGAGCGGTTGCTCGAGTGGGCAAGAATCTGTTACGTCTTCGCTCACATCGGATTCTCAAGTTTCAAACGATAGTGGTACAGAGATAGATGCTCCCGTACAAGTGTCGCCCAAGAAATCATCCGAAAAATTACCGCCTTGGGAAGCTACCAGTCTCCGTCAGAGAAATGTTGGAGTGACCAGGCCAGGACTTGCAACGGAAACGGCCTGGGGACCATACGCAAATGTTGCAAAGTCTGGAGAGCCTGTTATCGGGGACACGTTATCTTTGGCACGATCTACACCTAATTTGACAGATAGCACAGGCTACACAACATCGCAACACACTTGGTCTTCGACCGGTTATATTAGTATGCCATCGTCGGAAGAATTATCCAGCAATCCGAGTCCCGTTCCTAAAGAGACCACCATCGCAGGTGGTTATAGCATTATAGGATCGATCGCTAAGCCTATGAAGTCGAAATCCGAGGATGACAGTGATCTAACGGAATCTACTGCTGATACATTAATAGCTATTAAACCGGAATTCAAACCTACAAACCCGTATATAACCCTGGCATCTTTGGAGCAGAAACAAAAAGATAAGAAGAATATTGATTCGTTGCGAGATTTAGACGAATTAACATTTACTACTGAATCGAGCAAATCAAAAAGTGAAACTTTGACTCCACCCTCGATTTCAGACAAAACCTCTAAACCGTACGTGCAAACAGGTTTAATCGATTCACTGAAAAAGCCGTTCACCCTGAGCAACATTGATAGTACGAGAGGTACAACAGTGTCCACCCCATTCGCTGCTACGACTTTGACCGATTCGTGCAACAAGCCATTCGTCTCGTCGTTTGCATGCCCGACCACTTTGCCGTCTAATATAGACTCCTTATCGAAGCCTTACGTTTCTGTTTCTTCGATTCCTGAAATAACAAAAAAATCGAATCCACAAGTGGAAACTTTGGAGTCCATGCAAAAAGCGAGCATGCCTCAAACATCTACGACCGATGGTTCACAACCGTATGTTCGTGCGAGCTCCGTGTTCCAAATGCTACAACAGCAGCCAAGAGGAAGATCAGAAATGCCTGTTTCAGAAGTGATCGACGACGAGATTGAAGAAGATTCTACGTCTACGTATCCTGTTTGCTGGCAAAACACTGGGACAAAACCGACCACGAAGATAGGCGAGGATAAACAAATTATCGCGTCTAAGCAGAATACTGGATACGTTACTATAGCAGAGAACCCAAAGCTAGATCAACATAGAACATCGTCAACACCGTATGTGCAGCACGACAGGTTTGAGAAACCACTGCCACAAACAACTACCGGACAGTCAGATGAGCAATACAGTAAAGTGACTGTTGTGCCAAGTACTATTCAATAAGAGGAGTAAAAATGGTGTGGAAGCATCGATTGTGGCAGTGTGGCTTACGTGTTTTTATCACTTTCTACGAACCTTCTCGGATGTAGGAATATTTTTTTCAGTGAAGTATGATGGTGCAATACGATTTCACACTTGTAGGTGGTTTCGAAATACTGTTGACAATTATGTTTTACATCTATTTTTACAAATATGTATTTAGGTCAGAAGCCTGAAAAATACTAAATTGGATTGGACAGAATGCGCACGACGATCTTTCCGTACGGCTCTTAGCTGATGTAATTGAATTTAGTGTTTTTTGGGATACTATGTATCTACAAGACATCAGTTCGATCCAAGATCAAATGACTGAAATGAAAGAAAAGAAACGCGAAAATGAAGAAAAAAGAAGATTATTGTATACAACGATGGAGTTGGTATTGGGACACGTCGACCACGAAACGCACTCGCTTGTGAAAGTATGTACAATATTAATTACTTTTGTATCATATACATTATCGTGCAATGTGATGTGAAAATCACTAGCAGCGCCATAACATAAGGATTATTAGATTATAAGTAAATTATGTGGCATAGACCTATCGCTAAACGGCTTGCTGTTTGAACAAACAAAATTTATGGTATCTATATGATAATGTATAATTCTCGACGTAGAAAAATCATTATTTAATTATCGAGCAGCTTTTAATCGTTTAATAGTACATCTATATTTCTAAATTTGTTCAAAATTTCTCGAACTTCTTTCTTCTTTGAAAATCAATCAGTTACAGAGTCTGACAGAACTTTTTGCTCTGATCTATAGACGATGTGAATGTATACTGATCATTTAATTTTTTTTATTAATCTCGATCAAATTAGGATAAATAGGAACACGTTAACTTTTATTTGTTCCTCAAATTAAAACAAGGAGGTCCATTGGTTTATTAAGAAATGAATCGTAATCATGAACTACTTATTGTTGGTTTAAAAAGAAGCTATGCTAAGTTTGCCTCCTTCAAGTATGAAAGAGGCAAAAACTGTTTGTGCTGAAATCATTTGTTTGTATCAGTACGTATTAGGATTATTATACATACTAATCAAGATTATTTTAATTGCACTTTTACGCGCAATTTGTTTATCTGTGTACATATATAATTTACAAATTGTTCCTGTAGTACCTTACTATTACTAGCATTGATGGACAGAAAGTACGCAGTAAAAGAGAAACTATAATAACAAGTACAGGGTCAAGGATAATAACATAAGGGAAGAATCAAAGCGCAGTTTTGAAATCAATTAGATTTTTGCACGTTTCATATGTATATCGTTTCCAATCGTATACGGTCTCTATATCTTTTTGATTTTAAACAATGTCTTTGCTGACTACATTAAAACTTTTTTAAATAGCGTTTTATTATCTTTTACATAAACAGAGTTTTTCAGCACATGATTTTAGACAAAGTTTCATTAGATAATACAAATAATTTGAGAATTCTGAATAAACTAATTTTTCAGTCAGCAAAGTTCGAATAAAAATGAAATACGTTTGTACAATAATTAGACAAATCATTTCGTAGAAATTTTATGAACCAATGCAACGTCATTCAAATATTTTACGTGCTAAAACAGAAAGAAGCAAGAATATATTATATGCATAATACCTTAAGCTAGTCATTGATGGGGTACATAATTGTTTTACAGGCCTTTTTTATTGCTTATTGTTTATACTTTACAAATGATCATTGAAAAATATTTGATTTTTCTTTTAATACCTCGACCTCGGTTAATGAATTTGCTTAAACATTATTAATTAACGAATAACATATCAATTGACTTCAGTCATTATAAATTGGAAAAGATATTAGTGTATTAATCCGTGTTCGCAACAATCGTTATAGAAGTTTTATACAATGAGAACAATATACTAGACGAGAAAAAAATTATTTTTCTTGATACATCATGAATAATCATCCACTGCGAACGTATGAAATCGCTTGTATTTTACCTCACACTGAACAATCGAACAATTGAGCGCTATACGCAAGTATATCAGTACAAACAAACAAAAAGGCCTGAAAGGATTTTTGCGGTCGAATTGTTCTACAAGTTCATTATCGACCGCCGTGTAGGAACTGTTATTCGTCGAGATGAAGTTTTAATGCAATGCGAAATGTTGTTTGAGCTTGTGAAACGAAGTTCAAGCAAACTACCACGGAGGAACTCGTTGAATCTGTGGAACTTTTTTTGGTACGAGCTTACAAATATATATTTATTATTATATAAATATATAATTACATATATATGTTTATATATTAAGAATATATATTCATACATATTGTTGATAATAAGAAAAGAACCGCTAATATTTAATAAATCGCGTGTAAAAGAATATTGTTTAATTCGTAATGGTATCGAATTGAAAATGGATTATATTATGACGACGACTAGAGGTCTATGCTGGATGTGGTCGATGCGTCGCAAATACGTTCGATTTAAGTTTCTGTTTGACTGCATGAGTATACATATTTCCTTCTTTTTTGTTATGTAGAAATGTGCATACGAAGTGTTCAAAAGTAATTTGGTGGCAACGGCTTGGGGCAAAATTTTACTGCCGTTTGATACAGTAATTGTCCATTGTCTAAAGAGTCCTAAAAAAGGATGAACGGGATAGGAAAAATAAAAAGTAATGCCGTAAACAAGATCGGGGAAAATTGTAGACTAATGATATCACCGTTTTTGTAAAATGAGGAACAAAATGCACGAACGCACGCAAGATTTCGAAATATGCTCATATCGAGATATAATTAAGTATTTTTTACGGTAATGGCTTGTAGATTGATCTAGATAGAGTACTCGAGCGCATCTACTTTGTTAGGTTTTACATGTCTACATTGTAAATACAATATATCTATTATTATCTATTTTTGTTACATATTTATAATTGAGAGAAGAACTACTCTTTATTGCACATATATGCAGCTAGCTAAACGATTTATATATATATATATATAGGAGATATATTAATGATTTACGTGACACGTCTAAGACATGTTTTTATCATTAAGAACTTACCTTTATCGCATATTAATTCGTCTTGCAGAGGCAAATTATATAAAGCGTGTATATTCACGACTTCTTTTCTCTTCCCCTTTTTTTTATGTAATCAAACCTTTCTTGTATAATCTAGTTGGATAGTTGAATAGCTTGTTAGGATATTCGTAACGTTTATGTTATATATTTTCATCGGTACTGTGGGAGCTCAGATTACCACGATTAATTGAAATTTCAATTGATCCGAATATATATCAAAACAAGCTGGAACAAAATCATTTTATACGATATAAAGAAATTTTAGTGCAATCGCCCAGTGGTATAATAAATTTATGTATGTACATAGTATCTTTTTTTACATAGTTTCGTGAATCATGTTATTTACGGCTGAGCTCCCTGATTATGAATTCTTTTAAATATAAAAAGGCCTGAAAGGATTTTTGCGGTCGAATTGTTCTACAAGTTCATTATCGACCGCCGTGTAGGAACTGTTATTCGTCGAGATGAAGTTTTAATGCAATGCGAAATGTTGTTTGAGCTTGTGAAACGAAGTTCAAGCAAACTACCACGGAGGAACTCGTTGAATCTGTGGAACTTTTTTTGGTACGAGCTTACAAATATATATTTATTATTATATAAATATATAATTACATATATATGTTTATATATTAAGAATATATATTCATACATATTGTTGATAATAAGAAAAGAACCGCTAATATTTAATAAATCGCGTGTAAAAGAATATTGTTTAATTCGTAATGGTATCGAATTGAAAATGGATTATATTATGACGACGACTAGAGGTCTATGCTGGATGTGGTCGATGCGTCGCAAATACGTTCGATTTAAGTTTCTGTTTGACTGCATGAGTATACATATTTCCTTCTTTTTTGTTATGTAGAAATGTGCATACGAAGTGTTCAAAAGTAATTTGGTGGCAACGGCTTGGGGCAAAATTTTACTGCCGTTTGATACAGTAATTGTCCATTGTCTAAAGAGTCCTAAAAAAGGATGAACGGGATAGGAAAAATAAAAAGTAATGCCGTAAACAAGATCGGGGAAAATTGTAGACTAATGATATCACCGTTTTTGTAAAATGAGGAACAAAATGCACGAACGCACGCAAGATTTCGAAATATGCTCATATCGAGATATAATTAAGTATTTTTTACGGTAATGGCTTGTAGATTGATCTAGATAGAGTACTCGAGCGCATCTACTTTGTTAGGTTTTACATGTCTACATTGTAAATACAATATATCTATTATTATCTATTTTTGTTACATATTTATAATTGAGAGAAGAACTACTCTTTATTGCACATATATGCAGCTAGCTAAACGATTTATATATATATATATATAGGAGATATATTAATGATTTACGTGACACGTCTAAGACATGTTTTTATCATTAAGAACTTACCTTTATCGCATATTAATTCGTCTTGCAGAGGCAAATTATATAAAGCGTGTATATTCACGACTTCTTTTCTCTTCCCCTTTTTTTTATGTAATCAAACCTTTCTTGTATAATCTAGTTGGATAGTTGAATAGCTTGTTAGGATATTCGTAACGTTTATGTTATATATTTTCATCGGTACTGTGGGAGCTCAGATTACCACGATTAATTGAAATTTCAATTGATCCGAATATATATCAAAACAAGCTGGAACAAAATCATTTTATACGATATAAAGAAATTTTAGTGCAATCGCCCAGTGGTATAATAAATTTATGTATGTACATAGTATCTTTTTTTACATAGTTTCGTGAATCATGTTATTTACGGCTGAGCTCCCTGATTATGAATTCTTTTAAATATAAATATATGTATTCAGAGTGCAGTGAATTGTTAATGCAGATTATCAAATTTTGATTGAAATATTTGTTGTTGACATAGTGGAAGAAAGATGTTTAGAATTTCACTCCACGTATTTTACATGTGCATTACGGTTTGTTTCTGCGCGAAAGTTGAAATTTTGACTATTTTTGCAATAATTGTTTTACTCTTGAAAAACGTTGACGTTTCGTAAGCGGAATAATAGTTCAATCTCGTTGCGACGTGCGCGTTACGGGAAATTCAAATATCTTTTTGCAAAGATGTACAGACGCCACGCTAATATTAATCTAAGCTAATGTTAATTATAGAATACTGTAACTTTAAAGTTTAAAAAATCGAAATTGACGAACTCGAGGACGATTAACGCATAGCGCTAATGACCGAGCTATTTCTCCAATTTGAAGGTGTAACTTTCTGATGTCGAGAAGAAGATCAACGCGATACTTTCGCAATAAAAAAATATAATAATAAAAGAAGAACAAATTTTATAACAGTATTCTATGATTAATTATAATCTGCCTGCCTCATGATAATCCATTTACGCCGAGCTAACTAGGTATTAATTCGAATAAAATCATGTACAGAGTATTGTAAAATATATTTTTACTACATTTTTTTTGGTTTTATTATTTATTTCTTTATATAATGCGATAAAATTATGTTTTAAGTTTGTTCTTTGTCGTAGACCGCTGCGTTATGCCATTATATATATATATATATGTATGCCATGCCGTTGAGCCTTGCCATTTACGTAGGTTCAGTTTTACGATCAAGTTCAAAGTCGTTTTGTTTTTCAATACTCATACACGGATCGCACGAAGAATGCATACGAACTCTTGTAAAACTCTCAATCGATGCTGTCGATAAGCGCTTCACGAGCTACTATATTATAAGAATTATGCTTATTATGAAATATATAACACTTATATCGACGTAGTGTACTTTTACTTATTACTTCTACGATGTATTGTCCTTCACGATCTTAACTTTTGATGTATTAAGGAAGCAGAGTTCAGGATTCAATGTATATTTTATACCAGATCTTTAATTCATACCACCATGTATATTCTGTACATAGAAAAGAAAAAATAAATGTTTGCCAAAGCGTTTGCAAACATTTATTTTTTCTTTTCTATGTACAGAATAAAGTTACAATTGTATATTAAATAATTCCTATTGTGTACAAGCTACAAACAAGAACGACGTTCGAATGTATTGCCGAACGAAGTCTGCTTACTTTTCTAGTACATACTTTCTGATATTCCTAATATACATATACGCATATTATTATTATTTCATATAATTAGGAAACGTATACTTTACTACGTTATTATCCGTACATACACGTGTGTTCATAGTCTTTATTTAGTTTCCATCATACTATCGATTTTTTGTCTCTTGTTTGTGTATGATTATATTTATTCAAGTATAAAACATTGATTGTAATCACTATCCTTACCACTTCATTTCCGTCATATGTTTAATTTTTATTTTTTAGTAACTAATTAGCTTGCATTAGCATTCATTTCAAATATATGAATAAGAAATGTACAAACACGTTTTAGTAAACAAAAATCTAATCTTGCTTCCAAAACATAGGATATGTAAATTAACAAGGTAAGCGGGAGAAATTTTTATATTTATTTTTTCCTATTCTAATTTTCTTTTAACAAGGAATGATATGGATTGATTAATTTTTGCACTATTATTTATCTCTCTTGAAATCAATATTCTGTTCACGATTGCTGTTTTGGTAACAAAAAATCGAGACGAAAATAATAATCAAAACAGATTTCCATAAAAATTTCTAATTCGTATATTATACCGTGATAAAAACATTTTTCAAATATCTCACAAACTTGTACGTGGGTATGACTGATGTATGTTACAGATAACATAAAATCGTATATAAAAGAAATTACAATAAAACATGATCCTTATTTTTATTTGAAAATACGTATTAAAAGCTGTGATGAGATGTGCGTATGCCTATGGCAGGCATTTAACAATTTAATTGTACCGCTTGGATTTTAACGATTTTAACGCTTCAGGAGCAACAGAGGTCAGAGGTAGACTTGATACAATCGTTACTTCAAGTGAAGCGGAACAATAAAGTGCAAAATATTAATAAACAGCTCGCTATTAAGGAAAGTGTAACAGCTGAACTTTTAAAAAGATCGCAGCAAACAATCGATCATTCCAAAGAGATACATGAAATAAAACAAGAAATATAGTTTCTTCAAATTGAACGAGATGTATTCATGCAATCGTTGTGAAGGATTATGGCGAATAATGTTTGCTCGAAGTGAGCTTAAACTAAATATTTGCTTAATATTGCTATATTTAAATACTTTTCTGAACTTTATAAAATAGTAGAAGCGAAACATAAGAAGATGCAAGAATTAGAAAAAAGGATGTGCGAATTGAGGCGGGAGATCCCAAAGCAAGATATAATAGTTGAAATGAAAGAAGAACAAGATCAATGCCCAAATCATCCCCTTGTACGTTAATTTGTATTCATCGAATGGGTTTTGCCACTGCCTGCGCCTTAAGTTAATATTGTTATATCTTGTAAAGTAAAAAATTCACAATTGTAATGTGTAGTTTAAAGAGTTATTATAACATTCCTTATTACCTTTAAAAGTATTCTGCACCATACTTTTTACAGCTGTGTCATGAAAATCTTCCTATCCAATATCAGAAGAAAAAATGTAATTAAAGGTAGGCGACTTTGTGTTTCGTAAAACTATCTGTTGCTCAATTAATTAGTAGAAGCCTGCGAAAACCCGAAAGTGTCGAATTAGTTGGGGGCGAGCATTTTTATCGGGATCTAGAGAATGTCGAGATTCTCGAATACGTTCGGGTCTTTTCATTGTACCGAGAATCTAGAAAATGTTTGGGATTCGTCTACTAATCGACATTAAAAAAATAAGGAAGAAGAAGTGAAATTAAAAATAATCTCTTAACTTAGTTCTCCCTCATGCAACTGTTGCAATACTGGCAATATCTATACTAGCCGATGCACTATGCACCAGTTTGCAACGTAAATGTTGACCTTCTGACCTCGGTGACACGAGCTTTTGTACTCATATTACCACTTATAGGTCAATTCTATATAGATGACGGGAGCAAATATCTCTGATTCCGATGGATCGATATATCACGGCTCGAATTAAAACTGAAGGTCCAAAAGATAACTTCCTCATTGCTTCATTGCGATATCTTTACTATTTTCTAGGAAATATTTCATTCATTCATGAACAGTAAATTTTAGGAATAAAGATATCAGTAAAATAACAAGTTCAAAAATAGAGAATAATATCGAATTGATTATTATCATTCCGCAAGAAATAATATTATTGCAAGTATGTAACGACTGCTTATGGAACAAAATTTTATTAAAAAGAAAGAAATGAGTATTGTATAATAATTAAAGAGTATAAAATAGACATTATTATATGTAGGTATTGGTAAATGGTAAAGAATAGATTTAATATTATATCGGTTACGAGAACAAAGCGCTTCCATTTCGTTTTAATGGTGTGCTGTAATTTCTATACATAGACTTATCAGAAGAGTGTTTACTTTACTTAATTTCATAGACTTTAAAACTATACGTGAAATGTAAGGATTATTCTGAACAGGTAATGACAACTGCTATTGCATGGTAGTTAATTATTAGTTTATATATATGTATTTTTGTATTCACTTATACCTACATGATTGCAGGGAAGGTTTAGCCCCTGAAGCTAAACTTATTTTTCCTAGTAAAATAAACTTTTATTAACAAGAGAAATTCAGCAAGTAATAAATGTTGATAAATGCAAATAAATAATATAAAAAATATTGTCTCATCATTTTTCTTCGTTAAACGATGAGAACTTGAAAAAATTTTTAAAGAACATTTAAATAATTTTTCATGAACGCATGGTTAAAAGAGCACCTGGAAGAAGTTATTTTATATAGCTTTCTTATTGCCTAGTTTATCACTGATACGTATTTTACCTGATATTTTGTTTAATGTACAGAAGTTTTTTGATTCGTCTTGTCCGATTTAAAAAACATATTTTAAACTTATTTTCTCTTCTCGTGATTTGTCTTAAAAGGTACAATATATGTATATTTTAAAATCGTTCATTTCGCATTTCGTATTAATACGATATTGTTAAGTACAACATTTAACCAGTAATTATTACACGTTTACAGAATCTGATTTCGTGGCTAATGATGAGGAAGAATGCCTTCTAAGGTAACCAGCAAACAGTTGTCTCGCTTGATTGAGCACACGGATGACATTGTGTCGGCGAACCATTTTGTCGAAATGCATTGCCATCTCGTTATAATCCATCTGATTGCGCATAACAAAGTCTCTGTGTTGTAATAACAGGGTGATGCACAGGAACATAAGAAACGGATTACCACCGCCAAATTCGTGAGGTGGAGGTAAAGAACTTTCTCCTAACTGATCCTCGCAAGTGCCCGCTGGAATGAGATTCGTAAGCTCCGTAGCTTCTTCGCAGTGTTCTTGTACGGTTTGCTTGGTCGGGCTTTCTTGTACCGTCGCATTTTGATGCCAGCTTTCTGCCTCCTCACTATCCGACGCTGATTCGGATCTGTAATTTTGTAATTATTGTTTTTAAAAGCTCTATCTCAAAATGTTTTCTTCTGTCAGAGTAAATAAAGTTACTTTGTACCTAGTAGTGCGTTTAAGTAATCTAATTGGTGTAACTGACTTGACACCGTTTTTATCTTCCAATATTTCACCGTCGTATTCAAGCTCTGCTTGTTCGTCGGGAGTAGCAGGATGATGTTTCTGCTGCAACATGTGCAAAGGATTTTCCCACACAAACACATCTGCTGGACTACATTTTGCTAATTCTGTGTCTGTTTCACTATCTCCTAATTCACTTTCTCTTTTAGAAAGAACGCAATCACATTGTTGATCGCTGGGTGGCGATGGTCCGAAGACTTGACGATCGAGTGATTCTAATTCCAGTCTTAATTCTCTGGTCATTGAAGTAGTCATGGGGAAGAAATCGGTTGGATCGTCCGGAGAACTTGGTTCGTCCCTTAAAACTCTGATCACGCCGCTTTCGCTCGAGACGCGCCTAGAAAATAGATATAGTTTTTGGTCTAAAATTATTTTTACTGTACATCAGTAAAAAATAATCGTAGACGAGCATAAGAGGATTCTCTATTCGGTATTAAAAAATATATTGTTTCACCTCAATTCTGGTTCAGCATCACATGGTGTTACTTTGCTACGATTAAGGCTGGTAAAATTTAAAAATTCGTTTAGATTCTTTACTACACGAGCACATTTTTTCTCGCCATCGTTATTCTGCTCGTTACTTTTGCATTGATCTTTATTAGGCAACGACAGTCTTTCTTTCAATTCCAATAAGTTTACGCGTTTAGATTTACCAGATAGCGAATCTGTACTTAGGCACTTTTCCGTGGACTCTGTATTTCGTCGATTCTTCGTTGAAGTCAAATCATTCTCTGGCTCAGAAAACGTCTCGTAAGGAGAGCTCGATCTGCAGATAGTGGTTTTCACTTTGTATTATTATTCACTTCGCTGCTTTCATCGATTTGCGTAGAAGTACCTTTTTGAGTCTCCATTAGTGTCTGTAGAGCTTTGCAGCGACGGATCCTCCGTGTTTACAGTTTTTCTTTTTCCAGTAGTGGCGATACTGGCGGAAGAACTTTGCCGTCTGATAGCGCAAACTTTTGTATATGCGTTCTCACGAATATGTTTCACGTTCGGGCTTGGCGGAGGTGAAGGCGGAGGAAAAGGTACTTCCGCTAAATTAAGTTCTCCATTTGGCGGTGATGCTGGCAAAGCGGCCCACAGAACTTCGAGCATCCTCAAAGCGTCATCCAAAGCAAATTCGCGCTTCATTTCCAGTAGGAGCCATCGATAACAGAACAACAGGTCATCCGCTTGGTGAGATTTCAGATAAGCATAGAAATCAGGATCGTAATGTTGTAAGCCTTAAAAAATGTTTTATTGGTCTGTTAATATTTTATCCTTTAATGACTTTAGTATTACGCTGTACTTCTCTCATCAAGGATTGAAAAGCAATTGATTCAAACTTTACACACTAGTCAAAAAATTACGGCATGACGAAATTTCTGTCGAAAATTGTCCGAGTTTGGAAGATGATTACTCAGGAACAGATTAAACTGAAACCTTCATTTCAAAATACTATCCAGAAATTTTTAATTTCAGACATGCCCTTAGATTCTAGAATTGTCTATCGTAGGGGTGTATGAACCGCGACCGATATCATAACTGTTTTCAATCCCTGTTTCTTATATCTAATATCTGGATAATGTTTTGTAATTGCTTAAGTTTTGTACATACCTTCTGCTAAATGGGCAAATTTCGTGGTCATCGCGATTCCATCAAGCATGAAGTTATCTTTTAATCTTCTCATAAGGGCGCACAAGCATATGTACGCTTGAGCCTCATCTCTCATGGTGACCAATAAGGGTGAAGCTAGATCGCTCATACCTTGACAATAGCTTACGCTTGGATGATTCAAAGCATATGTAGTCAAAATGTTAAAAAGACTGGCCGTGTTCTGATTGTCATCGGAACCACCATAAAACTTGTGATGTCTATCCGTTCTCAGAACGTCTTTTCGTACCATACTTGTTACATATGCTAAATCACCCACGTTCTGTCCCTTTTGTACCAAAGATTTCCATCTTTCTCGAAGATTCAAGTATTCTTGCGACTTCCTCTTCATGTAATCCATTCTCTCGCGGCCGGACATACCCTCGGGATATACATTTAAGATGTGCTTCCAAACTACTTTACGTAGACTAGGCTCGATACCTCCAAAATATATGACAGCTCTCAGTTCTTTGGGGTGTACTACTTGTCCGATGGGGTCCAAGAAACGTCGGAATTCAGCGTCCGTTAAGGGCGGTCGCGGTGGTTGAGCGGCTTGTTGATGTGTCGATTCTTCGCCCAAGTTACCTAAAGCACGCTGAACCATGTTCAGCGTTCTCTCCATCTGTAAGATATGCTCTTATGTAAGTCTTTCCAAATTTGTACATTATATTTTAAAATTAAAACTTACATTTAATAAATGTTTAAAGCTTAATATACGTATAAGTACAATTTCGTTTACGAACATACTTCAAAATAGAATAACCTTTTTAATATTGGATCCCTTTTGAAATGTGTCCGAATGGGAGTTACTGTAGATAATTCGTCTAATAGGGTTTCGAGTACGTATAATTTCTACATTTTGTTACGAACTAATTTTCTTATGGAAGATAAATAGCTATGTGCTACATCGTGAGTGAATGAAGAACGTAATGATACTCGCCTTGTTCATTATGAGACCAGGTAACTTAGGCGTTCTGTATGGAAACCCGGTTTCTTGCCGTGTCGACACTTCCTGCGCATTCTGTTCCCAGTAACATTCACAGTCACCTGTTTCTCCGAACGGTTTCAAGTTTACTTGCAGGTAAAGATACGGTTCAGAGGCGCTAAAATATCATGTTTTATCGGTTAAAGCACTGTTATCTACCAACAGTGTGTTATCTGAATAAAAGAAGATACCTGATGAACGCTGCGTCCAAATCCCAATCAGAAAGTAAGAACAAATACGTTTCCGATCCATAATCGTCTATCGCTCGATAAGAAACAGTGAATTCTCTGTGAATATCCGAAAAAGTAGATTTCTTTAACGTGAACAGATTTTGCCGAGCACTAATCAACTTTTTCATGATGAATATTTTTAGGAGTACATAATTTGACTAACATAATATCCATTTTCATAATTCGTTCAATAGTCTTATAAATAATAAATGATTTATAGAATAAAAATACATAATTGCTTAATCAATCACATGTTAGTCAATGCAAGATGAAATAAAAAACTTTATTCCAAAGCTACTGTAAGTGAAAGACAATCTGTATACATTTATTATTCATTATAATCTAAGTACTGTTGTTTTTAATTACTTTATACTTTCTTCAATTAAGTATACTTTCATTTTATGAGAAAGTAAGAGGAATCATTTTCTAAAGTAATATAAACAGATTTCTCGATGCATATCACGATTTTACAATTTACATAATTACTGTCCCCTTATTTATTAAATTACTAAATCTACGTATGTGTACTATTAATATTATTTAATCAGTTGTGATTTTTTGGAAGTTATTAAATTACGGTTTCTTGAAATAAATATTCCTTTTCTTATTTTTTTAACGATGGTTGCAACTGGACGTTTTTTAATCTAACGAAACATGCGCCACGGCTTCGTTGATAAATGCTAATCTCCAGGCGCACAAAGTAAATAGTCGTTAGCCAAAGTTTCCTTTTTAACTCTTTATCGCGTATTTGATGTAGTATACTCAACTATTATATAGTGTTAACAATGGTATCATCTCTCACCCTTTGATGTCGAACGCTTTGATAAGTATACTCTGTAGCACTTCAATAGATGTTATCTGCGGATCCACACTGAATTTTCGATATTCAGGCTGATGTCTTGTCTCGCATTTCTGGACAGAAATTTCTGATATAGATATTCACCCTTTTTTTTCTTCCAATTATAGAAAGAAACGAAATTAAAAGGAAATGCATAAAGATTTCAGCAAGAAGGAATCTGCTAATACAGGTTCATTATTATATTAATTCGTTGTTTTTTTTAAAGAAAATTATTCTAGAGAATTAGTAAAGGAAATTGATACGAAAAATTAATTAGAGGGCTTATACGATGCTTTCTATATTCTATCCATGAAGATTTGTAGAATGAGAATAAGAAGGAATTGATGAATAGGGTTTGTAGAGTAAGTTATTCTTGGCCATGTAAAATGATAAGACAAGATTAATCTGATTTCAATCTTGGGCTACTCTAGATCAGCTCGTTACGAAATTACATATTACGAAATCAGCGTAAAAAAAAGTGAATCACATCGTTCGCTATTTATTTTTTGTTTCAATATACCATTAGAAGTTTTCTAGAATAGCTTAACTCAGGCCACTCAAATTGTTATGTAAAACGTATGTGTGCTACGTCAATAGAATTGACTTCGTTTTTCTTGGTCTTTGTATTGCTCTTTTTGTGCTATCTAGAAATATTGTGGATATAGATTCGCATCACCTACGGATATTGCTGTTGTATTGTTGTATTTAGAGCGAAATAACGAACCAAATCGATGAGTATAGTAGTTTCATAAAGTTCAGTGTCCGTTTCGAGACTCGAATGACAATGATAAGATTAAAATTTTTAGTAACCATCATAAATATACTAATCTATATTAGCAAAGATGAAAAAACGTTTAGGAAGGTAAGATCAGTAAACATAGACGTCTAATAGAGTTAACACTTAAAAGTAAAATTAAGTTCCACTTGGCAGTTAAACTGCTGCAGCAGTTACATGTATAAACCTTCGTCTAATAATATTCACATTGATTTTGATCGAAATAAGGTACGATCCAATTTTCTCATAGTTAAAATTCTCCATGAATTCATCAAATTGTAAGGCCATATGTGAGAGAATATTAACGTGTACCAAGTAGTTTTAGATAAACATTACAACGAAGTTATTTCGGTGTATGTTGAAAGAAACTAAGTATTACTTACTCCATTTGACTTTCATTGATTATCGAAGGAATAAATATCAGAAAGTTATATTTCTTGTTCCCTAACTGAACGTTTCCGCCAGAAATATTTCGTAAAGATAGGTAAAACGACGTCATGTATTAATGAATTTTTCAGACTACCGATTATCAATTGTAAAACGTTTTGTTCTCCGATATAATGTTAAAACCACCTACTTTTCATACATTTATAACAGTTCGCGAGCACCGCAGGCCATGAAAATGAAATTAGTTTTATTATCAAGACTGCGTGCTTTTATTTTGTACGATACTTAGTTTAATTTGGTACGCGCTTTCGATTTACGTACACATATGTACCACAGCGAAGTTGAAACGAAAGTTTGACTTCATTAATATTGACACAATTGTTGTAGAAAGCATATTTGAACATCGTAACGAAAACTTTTTAGAAATCGACACAAATATATATGTATGTAAAAATTAATGGTACGTAATGAGTCTGTTAATGTAGTCATATGACTGAAAATTCGATAATACTAGTATATGTGTATAAATAGAAGGTCTAATCTTCTACACTATATAATAGTGCTTACTTATGATTAGACTGCGAATTTTTATGTAAAATAAAATATTTATAAGAGAGAATTGAAGAATGAAATTAACGTATTGTTTGCATTTATGAATTAAATGACATAGCATCCATTTCGCTTTTAACATTTTCTATGATTTTGCATATTGAATGGACTGATAAAAAAACCAGCACACTTATGTCTCTTACACACGCATAAAGATCAGCAATCTATCTTGTGATACTAAAGAAGGAATTGAAAGACAAACATATAAGTACATATATTTTAAGGGACAACTTAAACAAACATTACTAAGGACGATAGGTAACAATAAAAAAGCAATTACACATGCTACTGGTAATTTAATGACTTTTTATCTCTTTCCTGCGCAACAACAAAATACTACAACCGTATAAAAAATTGTATGAATCGATATATAAATAAGAAATTATATATTGGTTAGGAAATGAAATGTAAGGAAATAACAATGAATGTAGTAGTAAAATTAGTGCATCATTTAAGTTCGCAAGGCGAACCCGTACCTTCACTTTGACGCGTACGGCCTCTCTAGGACATCCGAACATGTCTGACGTTTTGTATGTATAGACTATCTCGTCGACACGGAGAAAAGGAACGCTCAATAAATGGGGACAATTCCAGATCCATAGAAATCTGCGTCTTCAAGGAAGATGTTTTTGTAAAACCGAACGGTACTCGACATTTTTCAACAGATTCTGCACTTCTTTTATTGCTTAGGTTAATTCGTTTCATAAGACGCACACAGACCGATCCAGTACGAGGCTCTGGCTTCTTTTCGAGAGTAGCATATTCGTTTCGAAATAGGACACTGCCACAGCACTTCTTTCAAAGAAACCTCGAACGTTTCGTAGATCATGCACCAATTTTTGACACTTTCGCAAAAGAACCCGCGATTCCGGATTGATAGAAGTCAGACGCTTGAACGCCACGTTACAGGATGTTAAATGTCGAGAATATCGTTTCGCGCCTTTCTCAAGCTTTAACCGCCAAGATTTGTCGTCATCGTGTCATCGTTGACATCGCTGCGCAAAGTACAGCCATACCGAGCATTACTGGGTGGTTTATTATCCGAAACTAGTGCGCATAGTGCGCGTACGTAATTTTGTACCGTAAAAACCACTGACACCAAGAGGGGCGAGAGGGGAAATACGAGAAGCGCAACAAAGACAGACAAAGAGAATGGTGAAGTAATATTGTTCGGCGATACGTTTGCGCGAGGAAGAAGAGAAAGAGCGAGAATAAGAGAACCGAGCGTCGCCGAGCACGCTAGAAAGAGGCGTCTTCGACTTCCGACGGTGCCGGTGATGGCATATGACATCACGAAGCGCCATCTACATGAAAAAGTATTGCCACACTGATACTATCATGGAGATGGAGCAGAACTCTCTAAAGATTGACATATGATTCATGGAGTGACAACCTTATGAGACTTCGTGTCGCACAAAAAGATCTGCAGCTTTTGACAACCTCTAGAATATATTGCCACTGAAGAAATAGAAAAAAAAACATTCGTCGATGTTGAACCGGCCGCATAATCTTACATGTTGTGGCAGCCTTATGAGACCTCCCGGCCCAACAAATTTTTGGCGCCCTCTAAGATATGTTGGACCGGGAAGTAAGAAACATCAAGCAAAACTGTCGTCGGTCTAGTCTAAACAACGATATTTGGGGTAAAATGCAGATATAAAAATAATAAGTTTACTGGTTCCGACTTTTTTAATAAACGACCAGATGCTGAGACACCTATTATCTATCGTGCTGGAAAAAAAGCATCGGTGAGTCTGATGTCGGTATACAATACGTTTCACAATACGTTACTGCACTTAGATGCCAGACAGACAAAATTTATTTCAACAGCAGTCTGTTCAGACTATTTTCGCTTTATATTTATTTAATACTGCTTTCACTATATTACAACAGTTGCAATGCATATCTCGCACACGATTATATCTCGTTTATGATTGGATTATGGTGCCATCTACAAAAGATAACATGTTTTGTTTTAATTATTTTTTACGATTTTCGTATTATGAACGAACAATTTATTAGAAAATAAATGTGCAAATGAAATAGAAATTAGTAATTTAGAGCTTTTTATATTCAACTTCAAGGAGACAGGGAGTAATTGAGAAAAATAGATTCTAAGCGTAATATACATAGGTAATACCTGAGTGCTCAGGCAAAAACAAATGTTCATATCATCCTCGTAATTATTATTAGGGAGATAGTTTCATGTGCTCAGATTTTGGAATTATGTAATAAAAAATGTTGATACGATTCATTAAGAATATAAATGGGATCATGTTTCAAAATTAATCTTTGAGCCTTATGAAAAACATCCGCGTTAAAGTATAATGCATATGTTTTCTTATATCAGAATTACATTAATAAAGTAAGTT